ATGTTGTTGGGTTCTATGTTTGGAGAAGTGGTACTATGATTTATTGTTGTCTAGATATTTTGTGTCATTACAGTTAGATGTAACCAGTCCTCACACGTTTGTCCTCGTATTTCTGGAATATGTCAGCAGTCGCTTCAAGTTTGGGGGTGGGCAGAATACAAGTCGTACTGGGAGCGAGGAATTCCTCACGACATTGTTTGACTTCCATGCTGTTTTTCGTTAACATACGGCATTATCATGGTGATCCCATCAGGTGTGGAGTACGGTCTCCATGACTGCAAAATTGAACAAACATGAGACTTCTGGACAAAACAATTAAATTCTGAGAAGTGTTCGAAAGGTACATTCTACCCGATTGCCAGCCTTTTGTGATGGATTGGTGGAAAGTGAGTAACTGACTGCGCAGATTTTCGAGGTTAGGTCAAAATTTTAGAATTCGCTAAAGTTTGCTTAAGGGAGAGTGTGGCTCCCTGATTACGATATCATACTTGATCGAGGCAAAAATGCCTGGTGCCTGCGCTACAAGCGCCCAAAGTGGTGAGGAGCGATGCCGCCCATGTTCGTTACTTATTGCCCTTTAATTCTTTGTACTTTTAAGTATACGCAAGCATGTTAGACGTAAGCGATGTTAAAGGAATCTTGCGCGGAAAATTCTTGCACTCTTTCCTAACATGAATATGTCAGTTGTGATCACTGGAAATAGCACACAAAGTTTCACGCATGAAGATTCGGTTTCTGAAGAGAAACAAACGTACAAAAACTACACGTTATGGACCATCGAAGGACCAGGAGGCAGAGCCAGGCGAGGCATGGAAAGAAGACGGCGTTTGGCCGGCTACGTACCAGGCGACGCAATGAGAGAATCGGGTTAAAGCGCGCGATTTCGGAGAGTGGAGACAAATCGATCGATGGAATAGGATGGAGTAGAAGTGTAAGATGTGAATGCAACGAAGCAGAAGGCCAGAAAGAGCTTCTAGTGAATGCACTCCAAGAACCAAGTTTGAGCATCCCCGTCGCCAGCATTCGTGAAAGACGTCCGTGGGCAATTCGAACGCGTAGCAGCCTTTTCGAGTTTTCGAATTTCTAATCAAAACGAAAGCAATACTTCAGTTTTTCACTATTATCGTGGATAATGAGTCTCAAGCCAGTGATTTATGGCTGAAATAGAATCATGATTTTTCCGCGCAAGATTCCTTTAAGAATACTTCCTAGCTATCTTACTGCAAACGGCAAAAGAACAAGCTCGCTAGGGAGTCGAACCGCTGACCTTTCTTCGTGAGCCTCGACCACAGCTTCGCCCCCCCCATGCCGCTTTTTCTGCGTATAATAACTTTCGGAGGTAAGAGGTTCAGTAGATGAGGAGACTTGAGCTCAGCGTCCCGAAGGGTATAAAAATATACATCTCATTCAATTGAGCCGGGCATTGACCAATGACCTTTTCTACTTAAAACGTCCCCAATCAATCCCCCTTAGCCTTCCGACCACCACTCACCATCATGGCTGTTCCTATGATATTTGACTCCGACCCCAATCGACACAGCCCAATCCCAGCTCCGCACATTTTTTCCTCCAAAACGGTCATCAATCTGGGGAGGGGAAGACGAGGAAGGGAAAACAAATTGGTATCATGAATCAGCAAATCCGCAGATTTTGTCTAATTCTCTTTTCTTTCGTGAAACTTCCATCAAATTCGTCAAAAAACGCGTTCAAGCACAACCCCCTTCAAGACCTCCACCACCCTTCGTTCCTAATGATAACCCTGCTCAAGCCAAATGCAATTCCCCAACACGAGAAGACAAATGCGTCGCGTCACTGAAGCCAGTCAAATTTTGTAGGGGCTTATTGATGTCTGAATGAATATCTACAAAGTGCTAAAAATCATTGAATTGCTGGTCCGCAATAGTGTGATCAGATTCCGCCGAACACCAGCGTTCTGTAGATTTTGTTTCCAACAATAACATTCAAACTTGAGGAAAAGCAACACATCGAGTGGAGGTGTGATATCCCAGTTAACTGTTCATTGAGATTCTCACGTACAGAGAATTTTTCAAGCGCACTGTGGCATAGGGTTACCCGAGTGTCGATACCTTTCCTACCTCAAAACACTTTCAACTCAAAAGACCCAAAAGATTTCCATAACTTATTGAGGTCAGGAAAACCACAACAGGCAGGGTTACACATACGAGCCTGGTCAGAAAAAAAGAACCATTCTTCCACATTCAAAACGTAGTCAGTTACACTTTGCCAAATTCAGACCTGATTAAATTAATATTGAACAGCACATTCCAGTCTACCAAAAAACTCGATTGATAGTGGGTGATAGCCCCTGGTTTGTAATAGTTCTTCAGCTGCTTTCATAATCCTTCTCTACGGATGACATTAGAAGAATTTACCACTGGAGCATGATGACGGTTTGAGCTCAACGGGATTCTTCGAGAATCGTGAACCATAACGACGTGGAAGGCTGGTCGGAAGGCGTTTTGCTAGAGCGGTCTCTAGGAAGATATTCACCACTTAAACGATTGAAGAAATTATGTAGCAGCTTCAGGCTGGAGCGATTACGGTAGGCCTCCTTGAGCTCGACGGTGATGGCAGATGACGTCATATTTCCAAGAGACTGGTGAAGGAGAAGTTGCTTCTGCTCATGGGGACATCCGAAAAGTATTCTGCCGTCGAAATCCCATCGATGGTGGCAACCTTTGCGAAGAAAAGTTTGGTGACGTGCGCCATCGCGGAATGACATTTTCCCTCCCTTCACGGCTCTAGACTCCATAAGAAGAATGCGTGGCTGCCAACAAAGGGAAGTAGAACTTGGCTTGAACTTGAATAAAACTTGATTCGAAAGGATCGCGTTGAACCCCTCGATGCAACAGAGATTTGGGGTCAGCTGAGGAAAGGCACACTCACACTGCGACATAGCGATATGTCAAAATTTTTGTCTATTCGTCAAATCCATTAATCGCTGACAGTAAAGATTGGATGATTCTCACAAACCGTTACAGTCGCTTCTCAATGATCACACATATTATTGGCTTGAAGTTCTTTCAATTCAAAAAAGAATTCGCTCGCTTGCAATAAAGTTGATCTCTTTGTAGCATGCAGACGAGGGCCATTAAATCATATTTATTGGTTATGTTGCGGCTGCTTTCGTCGTTTCAATTCTAATGACGCGCTCCTACATTTTAATGTGACTAGCGCGGCATGGTGTAACAACGATGATGTGCATGCTGTAAAAGGAGCCATGCAAAATTTTTCTGAAGTGTGAGATCTCATTCTGAGACAAGCTGCTTATGAGGGTGCCAAAACAAGCTGCGTCAGAATGTTCAGAAAAAATTCTTGGAGCGAATTCAAAGAAAGAGCAGAACTGACATTTCCTTTGTGATGGATTGATCTGAAGACAACGGTTGACAGGTCCAAGGCGATCCTTTCGAATCAACTTCTATTCAAGTTTCCCCTGGCGGTGGCTTATTGAGATATGCAAATGTATGTAATGAATTTGATTTATCTTCTTAGGTAGTCTTCAATCGTCTAAATTACTATCACATTCAAAGCAACACCCCAGATTTGTGGGGTGACAACGGTTGATGACAAAGTTGTGGATGCCGAATTGAGTAAAATTGGAAAAGGAAAGAAAGAAAACCGGATGAAGCCCCAAACAAAACTATGTGAAAAGGGTAAGAGCGGGGAGGGGCGAGTTCTGTGAGCCTGTCTGCTCCACGTCTCAGCTAATCCCGCGTTTTTGAATTAGCTCTACGCTGTAATCCACGTTGCTTGTATGGGGTGCGCGGCGCAACTCGTCCAAATGCTGGGATTAGTCATCATATGTTGACTTTGTAAGGCCCTAGCGCCATTGCTGCACATTTTCAGGCCGATGTCATAGTTTGCGAATCGCGCGAATCGCTGGATCCGAGCGTTGCGCCAGCGAATCGAACGTTGCACCAGCGAATCGAACGATGCACCAGCGAGTCGAACTATGTACCAGCGACTCAATAGTGGCGGGACCCAACGTTCAAAGGAAGCCCGCTACTTTCAAACAGTGTCACGTGACAGTGGACCCTTTTTGAAAGTGGCGGGATTTGACAGTGGACACTGTTCGCTTCAGCGATTCGCAAACTATGACGTAGGCCTCATGCCGCTACTAGGCATATCTGTGGTACTCCTGGGCTGCTCTATCCCACACTTCGACACGACTTCTGCTGAAGGTGTTGCTTTACGATGATGCCAGAACGTTTATGACAAATTCTGTGTACGTGGAAAATTGCTCCGAACAACAGAGAGGAAATAGTAAATACTCACTTTGAAGATTAGTGCTTCTTCCTAACCCATTTTTCTACCTCCGTTGTGTTCACTACAACTCGCCTATTTGCGTAGCTCAGTGGCATAGCTTCCCCTTCAGTTCTGATCCTTTCGGTGAGTTTATTCTTGTTCATCTCAATGCAAACGAATGACACCGACTTACTTTGACTCATATGAATTGAGATCCCTAAAAAATGAAATCAACTGCAGTCTTGTGAGTTGTTCTTTCGTCCGAACCCCATTTTGACTAGTGGCAGTTTGGACTTGTCAGGAAGCCTGTGCCATTAACATTCTCAAACAACGACGCAGACTTCCTTTACGAAGAACACCCTTGAAGCGATGGAACGTTTGTTTTAAATCGTCTTTACGAGGGCTTTTTTCATGTGTTCGAACTTCTTATAAATCAGCTCATGACGCCTTCTTTGGCTTCATGTCGATTGGCTTTACTACAAAAATAGAACGTGCGGAAGCGCTGGCTGGAGACTGGTTGCTCTGTCTCAATCACTCCTTTATCAACAGCGTACGGGGCGCGTCTGTGTGTGTGTCGTGTCTGCGTTGGGAAGGAGGCGTTGAAGTATGTTCCACTATTCAACAGTTTTTCATTAAGATTACGCTCTCTTTAGTGAAACTCTGCTGGTTACACTTTAGCCGACATAAAAGTGTGTAACTGGTAATGATACGATCGCCGCCACCACTGCCCGGCCATGAGCGAGAAACAGGATTTAGCTCGTGCCACGGATCTCAGACGAATAGTTTACTTCGGCATTGCTGTTTCTACACTTGCTATCACTACTGCAATTATTGGCATTCCTCTATTGTGCCTTTATCTGCAGAACGTTCATTCGAATGTTCATGAGGAGCTAGCATATTGCCGTACGAGAACGCAAGGGATTCGGGGCGAGTTTACCAAAGTGAGCTTAAACAAAGCATTCTCTTCATTATAAATTCAAACGGTCTTATATTTGCTCTTTTATTAGACATATAAGTTGATGAAATTCTTATGATAAATTTGCTGAATATTAGATGACAAGGATTCTCATCATTTATGCTGATTAAATCTTTGCTTAAGAATAGCTTTGTTTTTGCTATAGAAGTGCCTGCTCTAGCTTTTCTCGCGTATTCCTGGCACTCAGCTTTCAGGCATTTCTTGAGCACAAAATAAAATTAAATGTGAACAAAAAGGATTTTCCCGATTTTTTTGGAAACATGCTCATTCATTTCTTCAACGAGCGTACTTTCTGGTTACAGATCCAAGCTGATCGAGGGCAACGGCAAAAGCGACAGGTAGGATGCTGTTCCTGTGGCATCGGCCCCGCTGGCCCGAGCGGACCGCCTGGTCCTGACGGCGAGCCCGGCGAGGACGGCCATCCTGGACATCCCGGTGCACCCGGTCCTGACGCTAAAGACGAAAAAGCAATTCCGACCGAAGCTGATTTTTGTTACGAGTGCGAACCTTCACCTCCTGGGCCAACTGGTATGACAGGACCGATGGGCCCGATGGGACCCGTCGGGTC